GTTTTTTTTTAAGGATTGTTCTGAACATGTCAAAGGAAAATCCTTTGCCATTCCTGCTGATTTCAAGTTTTACATTGTGCAACTTACTTTTGCAATGATCTTGAAAGCTGCAGCTCAGCATGAAAATTTGCTGCTAGCTTTGGGGACTCTACTGTAAGAATCCATTTTGTATGGAATGAAGGGAGGATCACACAATGAAGCTGAACCTATTTCAAATATGCTACCAATCTCATCTGATCCCAAACTTCAACCTGGAAGCCACCAGGAGTTTTGGAGTATACCTTCCATAATCCTTGACCTTCACCTGTGCTTGCTGATCCCAAAGAGAGTTGTAGTCCACAATGCAAGACTGGAGAGCCTTTTCTTACAACTACAGTGGTGCCTTGCTTAACAAGCGCACCGTATAACGACGAATCCGCATAGCGATCCCTTTTTCGGGATCGCTAATGCGGAGGCATACCGATCGTGCCAATGGGCAAAACTCGCATAGCGACGATCGGTAAGCGTTTCGCTTACCGATCCTCGCTTTGCGATGCCCGCGGATCAGCTATTTGGCGGTTCTAAAATGGCCGCCGGATGCCCGAAATGGCCGCGTGCAGCGTTTTCACGCCCTCCCCTCGCTTACCGAGGGCGCGAAAATGGCTGCCGCTATGGAGGAAACTTCACTGAACTGTAAGTTTAGGGCCCATTGGAACGCATTAAACGATGTTTAATGCGTTCCAATGGCTTTTTATGTTCCTTTTAGCGATGTTTTCACATAGCGAGGGTTAATCCGGAATGGATTAACCTCGCTATGCGAGGCACCATTGTATTTACTTGAGTCCTGATGCCATTTTGTCTAGCTACAGTGATATTCTTAGGCTGACTTTCTCCCCACCCCCACCCCCACCAGATCTCTAAGTGGTTGCTCATAGTTTAGCAATGCTAGTTTGCTTGCTTCTGCAAAGGTTGATGAAACTGCACATGAGGAATGTAAACCTGTTTCCACAGCAATGCCTAGGTTGACACCCACAATGGCAGTTGGCCCAATATCCCTCAAAGAGAACTAGGCAAAAAACAAGGGGGGGGAATCTTGCTATGACAAGGAGCTAGAAATACAGTAAGCATCCAAAGCACTTGGAAGTATTAAACTAACTGTGGCAGACATACATGAGCTGATCAACAAAAGTTGATCTGAACCTAAGAAGCAGAGGAATGCATAAAAACTCCCAGGTCCAAACTAGACAATACAGTTATCATGCCAACGTAAGTGGAGATCCATGAATTGATGAAAGATATCTGATTGTTTCAGCAGGAGCTTGTCTGATTCTGCATTTAGCAATTTAGCTTGCTTTTGGTTTTGTAATTGGTCATCAGGAGGAAACTTGGACTCCATTATCAAATCTGATTATGCTCTTGCACAAGGATTAAGGAACTTGTTTTCCTCCACAATAAATTGTGAGAAGCCAAAGCACTGCCCTGTAAGTTCAAAATGAGAAGAAGCACATCAGTGGTGTCAAATAGGAGGGGTCATGACCTCCAAGGAGGTTGCAGAGTGTTTTCTGGGGCATCATGGGTCACCTTATATGTGTTGTAGCCCTTGTTTTCCTTGACTTTTCAGAGTGGGATGTTAAAGTTACTGTGTATTTATATGTAAGAGAAACAGGGCTTCTAGGAGAGAAGGGATGACTTAACTGAATTAAAAATGTCTTTTTATGCAAATGTAGTTGGAGGTCACAGGTTACTTAGCTATTATAAAAGGTGGTCATGATTCAAAAAAGACTGGGAAACACTATACTATATGTTCCCTAAGCTCCGCAGAAATGGAACAGTCTTACCTGTATCACATTTATAACACCCTCCAGGAGAAAGAGTTTCATGGACTAACTGTATTTTATTGACTTCACAGGATCAAGGGCCGCCCTTTGTAGCATCACACCCTAATTCACTTAACCAATCCCCCCTTTATGTCCTGAACCCCTTCCATCTTTCATATTTGCAAACCTGCACAAGCAATTACAACCTGAAATTTCTCTCATGTCTACATCCCGGCTCACTTGAAAGGGTTCTACATGATAATTTTAATTCCCAACATATGGTGTGCTTCTCTTTTTGTAGTTCAGCTGCGTGGGATGTTATTGCCACTAGCTGTACTTGGTTATTTTCAATGGCTCAAAGCTACCTAAGCCTAACTGCTTAGATCAAAAGTCAATCTTAGTATGTTTTTAGAAGAGGTACTCCCTCTAGTGGTGAGAGCCATCTGTTAGTCAAAGCACATGACTTTTCTCACCTACAAATCTCGAATCTAGCTAGCATGTTGTGGAGTTGGGACTCATCATTGGAAGATAAATACAGGCCTGGCAAGTTGAACTGCTGAGACATGTATCTCTGAGGAACCCCTGTTATGGGAAAGAAAACTTTAACCGTAGGGAATATGCATTCTAGTTTGGCTCTGAGAGCAAAATGCTACAAGTCAACATTTACACTCCTCCACAAGAGAAAATTCTTTCTTTGCTTAGAACAAATTGCAGTGATCTTCTACTGTACTGAAGGATACGTTCATTAGTTCTCCCACAGAACTGTGCCACATGGCTTTACAAATTTTGCTATGGTCATGTTCTTCGTTTTTTCTAGCAACTGTGGGTTCGAAAATACCAGTGCAGGCACACAATTGTAAACTACCAGTTTCTGCTTTCATTCCAGTGTATTCAGCAGAGCCACACCACAAGAATCCATATTTACTCTGCCACATAATCTGGTGAGTAAGTAGTGAGTATAGAGCATTTAAAAAAATAATCTAAGTCTGCTATTATGGGGAAAAGTCGCAAGAGAACTTAATAAAAGCTACAATCACATACTGTGAGGGAGAGAGGTGCTTCTACCAGTTAAGAGATCCCTGATTTGTCACCAGTTTTAGATATACTGAAATACAACACAGTGGTATATTTATTATTATTTATTGTCTACAAATGTATTTTCATTATTAACAGCAGTACAGTGGTGCCTCGCTTAATGAGTGCTTCGTTTAACGATGAATTCGCTTAGCGATGGCTTTTTCGGAGCGATCTTGTGCTCCGTTTAACGATGTTCCCTATGGGCGATTTTCGCATAGCGATGTTTGGGACCATGCTTCGCATAGCGATGACAGTTTGGGTCCCCCTGTTTCGCTTCACGATGGTTTTGACAGCCTCATGTTGGCTGTTTTTTATACGTTTAAAAATGTTTAGAATGCTTGAAATCATAAGTGCACTTAATAAACCCTTTGTTAAACTAATTTGACTTTGTTCCGACTCTTTTTCAATTTGTTGTAATTTTTTCCTCATTGGGGAACCGCGTTTCGCTTAGCGATGTTTCCTATGGCGATTTTCGCTTAACGACGGCAATCCGTTCCCATTGGAACGGATTATCCGGTTTTCAATGCATTTCTATGGAAAACCGTGTTTCGCTTAGCGATGTTTTCCCATAGCGATGAATTTTTTGGAACCAATTAAAATCGTTAAGCGAGGCACCACTGTATATAGACTTTAGATAATGTTACCCATCATCAAGAAAGCAGGGACTTGCCACAAGGGGTTTACAATCACAAAATGCAGGACTGGATCTGATGTTACAAGAATATTGGTTGTGGCTCCTTATGATACAATCCACACTGCTTTAGTACTATAGGAATGGAGGAACTATGTAGATTTGATAGAATCAGGCATGAATCATGCGCAACATGACCTCTGATGCTTGGCATGTCTCTTCCTATGTGATCCCTCTTCTCTTCATTCCTAGGTTACTGAAATAGCTACGGGAACCAGACATGAATGAATGGCAACTGTTTCTTTAATATAAAAGGCAACCATCTGTACACAATTCTTGATTAATACAGTTGTGTGCCCACTGGCATCCCTTTGCTATGATGACCTTACTTCTACATCCATGTTGTGTCACTATCTTTCTGATTCCAACCCACAGCCTGTGTTGCTCTGCATCATTCAAATGGCTAGGTCCTTTCCGCTTACTGCTGGTGTATTTTGAAATCCACTTGCTGTTATATTCCAGATATGGATTTTTTTTCCTCAGACTTATTAGTGATGCTACCCTAAAACATGAGACTCCTATACTGTCATCTACAGCAGCTTTTGGCTCTATATCAATTATTCATGTCCTGGCCAACAAGAGTTAATCATGCACAATTGTGTCTGTCCAATTTTTATTGCTTGCCCTGATATGTCTGCTTCAATTCTGCTTCATTCTTGCCACTTTATCTAGACTGGAAAGCACATATCCTAGCCTAGATGAACCAAAATCTAGTTGAATTTGAAATGGGGTCAGAGTTGGTAGATAAAAATGCTAATCTTGGCCTCCATCATTCTATCTCCTGTAAGTGCTATGTCCCTTTAGATCTTATGATACTCAGCCTCAAGTCAAGTGGTGCAGAAAAACATGCTTCAGCCAAGCCAGCTCTTAAAGCAAATCTCTGCTGGCCACTACTCTTTTCTTTAGGCTAGTGGGCAAGAGAGATTTTCTGTAGTGCTCTGCCTTGCTAAAAAAAAAACCATTCTGAAAGGAATTATCTTAAGATAATCAGATACACTAAGAGCATACAGCTCTATACCTTGGTGTAAAAAAAGGGGGGGGAGGGGAATTTGGGTGAATGTGGTTTTTCCCCCTTACTGTACATCACTATAATGCAAGATAAGCAGCATCTACTGAAATTCTGTCTTCTTCTCTGCTATCAAAGAAACAGGAGCCCCATTCTCTGATGCAATCCAACCATCAGACATAATTGCTATGGAGGTGGCTCTGGAACTGCATGTGGGAATGGGGCATATCATGGCAACCGGTGGTGCCAAAGCTTACGAATTTTCTTGTAGCCTTTTGATACCTTTTGAGTCCAATCTTTTGCCCTGGTCATGGATGGGTTAACGTTGCATAGGTACAAGCTGGCTTGGTGTCAGGGAAAAGAAAGAAGGGGTAGGATGGGGGAAGGAAGAAGGATGGCAAGGGCAGATGGAGGTGGAGCTACCACTCACCTGGCATCAGCTTCACTGTAGTATTCTCTGGCAACAATGTCTTCAAAAAGCTCACCACCCGTGACCCTGCAAGGCAACACAACACAGGTTGTAAGTTCAAGCAAAGTCTGAAAGTTTGCCTTAGTACCTTCTTGAGGACAAACGGTCTAAGCTGTTCTGAAAAACTAGAGACGGTTGTCACAACTTGTTTTTCTACATCCCATTTCCTAAACCACCCAATTTATGAGGTTAACCATTTCCAAAATGGACAGGGTTGTCTTTTGTTTCTGTTTTGCTACAAAGGTATTCAAGGCCTGTATTAAAAATGAGCAGTGTTGGGTCATCTTAAAGTGAGCCCCAAAGTCTTTAGACCTCACTACATCCCTCCTTGTTGCCACTATGTGCTCACCTGCTCTCAGGCACAAGCAGTGATAACAGTGAAGAAACAGATCTAACTGTCACTTACCTCTGTATGGACTGGTATTCAGGGTAAAAAGCAAACAAAGGGCTAAGACAGGGAAGAGGCAGGCTCACTGAAGTCAGTTTGCCTAAGAGCCTTTCAAATCCTACAACTGACACTGGTGCTCATTAGCAATAAACAGGATGTAGATGATCTGCTCTTCTCTTTCAGTGCTATCATTACAGCAAGTGGGTAACACAAACCGGATTGAGGGTATTTGGAAATGGAAAGGAAAGGAAACAAAAGGTAAAAAGGACAGTTATAGCTGAAGAAAGTAACTAGGCCAATTACACAGATCACTAGTCATTACATTTGGGTCAGAAACAATGCCACTGAAGAAGGGTCAGACCTGCTTCTTCTCTGTTTAGAAATGTAACTCTGGACAAGATACTTCACTGTTATCACTAAGCCCGTGGGGGTATTAGGAGCTTTGGAGTCTGAAACAAAGGACCAGAGACCCAAAAGTTAAGATAATTAGCTTTGCATGCCTTCCTTAAACCATGCACCATTTCTTTTCCATGTTGACCCTTCAGCTCTGAATCTTATTCTCTCTCCCCCACCCACACCTGTTCTATTCCTCTGTGTTGGTCACTTGACCACATGGAGCTTGCATGACCTCCCCTGTGACAGTCAAGAGGACGATTCTGTCAATTTGCAGAGGAATTCTATTAAGGCAGCTTCTCTAAAAGCCACTTCTTTCCACTCCCCTCTTCCTTGCCCCATAAATATTCATATTTCTCTGAAAACTAGACTTCCCAAGATAATTAATATCATCTTCCCCATTTCACTTTCTCCTATATTTTCCTTCGTATGATCCATTTCAACTTCAACACCATACATTCTAAGAGACAACAACTCAAGGATGTGCTGCACATTTTGTCACGAAGTCATGGGACTACAGCTGAAATGTGGGAAATGTTTCTGTTTCGAGGAAGAGAATCTAGTGATAGTTCAATGTTTATTGGAGTTATCATGCATAGTCACATGTATAGAAATTCTTCTGATACTATTTTCCCACAGGGAGAGATGGCAGAACCAGGCTTGTGACAAAAATGTTAATTTGAAATGGGCTCTGAAGAATGGAAGGTAACACCAGATTAATATCTACATATGATGGGCATTTGCATTCCTTAGATATTTTAGCTGTCTTTAGAGGAGCAAGTCTGAGGGGCTTTCTGATGGGTATCAGTCCCAATGCATCCATGAGGATTCTTCACATGAAGAATGACTAATAAACAAGGCAAAGCAGTTAACTAAAAATTGTACTTCATTTTCAGCAAGAAAAACAAGCACTACAACACTTCAAAGTGAAGATTCTCTAATCCTATCTTGTTCCTACATCAATCTTGCTACATCAAAAAGGATCACAACCTACTCAGTGTGAGGGGGATTGATCTGTATAATTGAATACAGTGTGGGACAGAAAAAACAAGACAGGCAGCTAAAGCACTGTCCAGACATCAGTTTTAGAATTAGGGTACTATGCATCTGTTCCACACAATGCACATGTGCCAGCATACAATCACATAATGCAAAGCCTAGCATTAACCCAATAGCAACCGGTCCAATCCATATCTGAGGCTGCAGCCATCTTTTGCCAAGTTGTCTAACGGTTAAAACCTGGATGTTTGCTCTCAATCTTCCCACTGCAGGCTAGGGACATGCCAAGGTCTGTGTGACCCCAGCAAAAGAGAAGCAGGCGCTGCACTGACTCAGAGGAGAGCTAAATATAGTAGGCTGCTTAACTGGAGCTGTCAGAGAGGAGGAGAGATGAGATCACCCACTTCTATATCTGGAATGAAGTGAGAAGCAGCCGAGCATAGCACACAGTGTCTCCGCAAGCCCCTCGAAGACTCGGCAAAAGCCTACAGCCATCCCGAGGACAGCTTCAGCAAGGGAGGGGGACTAACCAACTATCTAGAGCTTTTATAATCAGTGGCAGCCTTAAATCTGTGGCTCACAGTGGCCGTGTCACTGTCTAAACAGCTGTTTTGCTACACTGGATGCAGCGTGTCAGTTGCCCTGAGTCACCGCCATTGTTTTGGCATCTTTTCAACCTGCCCCCTCATACAACTGGAAGGGCTTCCAGCCTTCTTCTATACACATCAACAAGGATAAGACTCCCTGTTCAATTCCCACAGCAGCATATCACATTCATGGGGAGGGGGGGTGGCAATTTTGCATATGTTGCTGCTGTAGTGATGATGCTGTGCTAAGCAACGTACCCTACAATTTTCAGCCCAGCTGGGTGGGGCTCCACCTCTCTCTTGTGCAACTTTGCCCCTGCATGTGTGGAGGGTTCCATCGTGACCAGAACCTAACACAATCACTGCATGGAGGAGGAAGACAGCTGTGTGCAAGGAAGCAGAGACGCACATGTGCCCAGCTTAGAGGGAGCCTTGGTGCTAAGGAAGCACAAGAGAATGCATCTCAAAGCAGGGGAAATCCATTTGAAGGATGGGGGGTGAGGGCTGCTGAGTTACTGGCAATAGCCTCAAGTACAAGAAAAGGATATACAGTACTGATAAAACCAAGGTTGATTTACTACTTACAGATCAAATACGAGATAGTGGAAGCCTTCCTCTGATATACTGTCATGGAGGCGAACTGCAAAGAAACATAAAGGATACATTACACAGGCCAAGGCTTCCTAACATCTGTGTCGAGACACTTGCAACTTCCTGCTCCTGTATTTTCCTCCTCTGTTTTATGCCTTGCAATAGCTTCTGTATCTGGATATAAGCCAGCAATGTCAGAAGGCCCAGATCCGATATGACAGTTACTTCCAGGTTCTTTACAACAGTTTTTAGATCACTTTGAATGTACCACTTTCTTGTCCCTTAACCTTTCACTATACGTATGCAGAATAGATGGCCAGCTTGCTACTCTGTTTATGGCTGGCCCTCCCATCAGGCAAAGTGTGACATGCTGGTCTATGATGCAAATGTAGGGGTCAGTAGCAAGGCCACCCTAGAGATGGGTGAGGGCAGAGTTCCACATGGAGGAATGGATATTGTAGAAGGATGAAAAAAATCTCATTTATCTGCTCAGAGGAGGCTGGGTCAACACAGAAAAAGCCTTCAGTCTTCCCCTCCGATGCGTGAAACTCCCACCCAATTGCTCCTGCCCATGGGAATTCAGGGGAGGCACCTCCTTTCAGCAGCGAAGCAGGGCAGCATAGGAGAACTCTCATACTGTGATGTAATGCTGTGGGCACCATATATTCAAAATTTCCAGGTGCGGGCACAGGTGCAGGCAAAAACTTTTATTGGGGGAGCTTATCCCTCGGCTGAGGAGGAAGATACGGCTTGTAATGAAGTGTACTGTACCATGCAGTACCCTGACAAGTCTGCTGAAGAAGTATAAATACTTTTCCCAGCAAAGACTAGCTAGCTAACTGCTTTCGGGAGGCGCTGCAAGCATTTCCATTGTTTGCATTTGTGCCCCCTGTGTATAGTGCCTTTGAAAAAGAAAGCTCATTTTTATTGTTTTAATAATGGCCAATATAACAAATAAAAAAGCTAAAAATAAAAATAAATAACAAAAACATAAATGTAAATTCAAATCAAAATTTATAAAACTCCTTTCTTCTACTCCAAGACAGATAACTACTTTTTAACCTTTATCCTGCTCTCCCCACCCAGTTTGTACACTAATAGTGCTCTTCTAGAGGGACGTGGTGGCGCTGCAGGCTAAACCACAGAAGCCTGGGCTGCAGGGTCAGAAGACCAGCAGTCGTAAGATCGAATCCACGCGATGGAGTGAGCTCCCGTCACTTTGTCCCAGCTCCTGCCAACCTAGCGGTTCGAAAGCATGCAAATGCGAGTAGATAAATAGAGACCCCCTTGGTGGGAAGGTAACAGCGTTCTGTGTCTAAGTCGCACTGGCCATGTGACCACGGAAGATTGTCTTCAGACAAAACGCTGGCTCTATGGCTTGGAAACGGGGATGAGCACCGCCCCCTAGAGTCGAACACGACTGGACAAAAATTGTCAAGGGGAACCTTTACCTTTACCTTTAGTGCTCTTCTATGGATCCTTATATGAGCAAAACAGTATCACATCCAGAAAATATGTATTGGGCAGGCTGGGGGATACATACCAGAGATAGAAGATGTACTGTATATAAAAAGTGAGGGACAAAAAGTGATGGTGGTGGGAACAGGAAAGAGAGAGCTTTAAACAAGCCAAGATGAGATCTGACCTGAAAATATTATTGACCAGAGCTGTAGTACTGAACAGACATTTTATTGTCGATATCACTTGTCTAAATTAGTCTTGTATTCTATGGCAAGAAATTTAATATGGCCTTGGTTTTTAAACACTTCCATGGTGGTCATACACAACCAGGAATGGGATGCAAGGGTACCGATTCCGTGCAGACAGGTAGGGAGTAGACTAGTAAAGACGGATAGGGATGCATGTCCCTCCTTTGTTTGCACTGCAGAAACTAAGAGTATGGTTGCTCCTCTGTTGTACAGCATAGCAGCTGAGCTGTCAAGGTTCTCGAAGCCTTCTAGTACTCCCAGGAAGACAATCTATTTTTGCTATCTATTGGCACCCAGTGGGTTACCATACATAGGTGGTTAACTGTACTTAGCTAAGATGATCCAGCCTGGGACTTGTGGTTTCTTCTATCCTCTTTTAATGAGTTTTATGTTTTCTTTACCCCATTAAAATGCCTTTTTACGTAAATGTAGTGGGGGGATCGCAAGTAACTTGGCTATTATATAAGGGAGCCACAACTCAAAAGAGTTTGGGAAACACTGCTTTACACCATCTTGTCTGTTGACGTTGTTAACATCCAGGCTGCCTTTTGCTGTGTAAAGTTTGGTATCCTTTTTCCTGCTGGCAAAGCAGGCACAATATTGTGCAGCACTGTGAATTGTGGATAGAGAAACACAATATCCAATGTTCATAAACCACAGTTTTTTGTTAAAGAATTGAATTTCCTAGCTTTTTAAAACAGAAGGTTAAGTATACATACACTCCACACAAGCTCCAACACAAAGTTCCCTTATGTAGAATGCTAGAGGATCACAAAAGATGATCACACGGTCTGTAATATGGTTGTTGGCAAAGGGCTGTGATGTGGCTGCTGTCTCTCTGTTTCAAAAGACCTAACATGAGGTAAGTTGACTCAATAAAGAAATCGACTGTTGTTAGCTTGTAAGACCCAAGCACAATTTAATGGAAAAGACAATATTGCTAGGGAGGGAGAGAAAGACAGAATGGAACATGAAGCACTGTTGATCTGTAAGATATGGGCAGCATTATTACAGATAGGAAATCTTGGAGGTCATTAACTCACATAGTCACTACATATCAGAAGTGACTTGATGGCACATAACATTTTGGGCTTTTCTTTTTTTAATTGCCAAGCAATTTTATGGTAACAAGATGGGTGGAATGGAGACGAAGGCAGGAGACTATGACAGGATAGGCACCTCTTCTTGTGTCTCCATTTTTACAAGACACAGAAGCCTCTTGCAAGGTGGAACCTGAAAGGCCTGTTTGACCAAGGAAGAGTTAAAAACTTTAAAAGTTAGCTAAGAGTCAGCTAACTGGGTCCTCAAAAATCCTTTGTCCAAACTTTCTCAAGTTTGGCACAGAGCAAGACTGTTTGCTCAAACTACACCAAACTTGGTGCTGATCCAAAGCCTAATTTCAAAGCTATAACTTTTTGTTTTATTGGTCCCTAGTTTTAGAATTGCCAGGCAGAATGTTGATTTGCTCTGCAGAACAATAATGAAGCTCCATTCCTGTGCTGCTATAATGCTGTCTCCTGTTAGTGTCACAGTAAAATTCAGCTAAAGTCCAATAAGTTTGGAATGGGAAATAGCCTTTGTTTAAAATCATCCTTGACCTTGTATACTTTTGTTTCACTGCCTACCTTACCTTAAAATGTCCATAGACATGGATCTCTAATGCATGATCCCACCAACTGTTCCTAGCTAGAAATCAATTCCTGAGCAAAACATTTGTAAAACCAGCTGGGGAGAAATTAGGTAATACACTAAGAAGATAAACTATGCTTCCTTGATTAGACTAAAAGCCCATCCAGTTTGGCATCCTTTTTAGCAGCAGTTGCCTAGATATTCTTCACAGAAATCCCGGAGCCTGCTGCTTGAATCCACAATTAGTTAACCAATGATTCTTGGAGGCTTTATTCATTTCAGAGCTTGGAAGAATGACCTTTTTTACTATAACCCCAACAATCCTCAGGTCAACATAACCACTTTATTGCTGAGTGATAATCTGAACTCAGTTCTTCCTAATCAGGGTCTCATTCTTTACTGACTATGGCACATTGAGTCTCATGCACAGATCAGAACCTATTATTATTGTTATTTTCTCATTTTGTTCTAGATGCAAAACAATACACTTTCAGGGGTCTAGCTGCTAGCTTCAGAGATTTGGGCTTATGAAGAAATTTCTCAATATCACACTAGAATAGAAAGAGTCTCTCAACACAGAGCTAATCATTTATGATTCAATGCTTTCAAGTAATGCATTAGATAGATAGATAGATAGAGAGAGAGAGAGAGAGAGAGAGAGAGAGAGAGAATGCATTACTTATATACAGTGGAGGCCGTTTTTGCGATTGCAAATGCGATTGCAAAACGGTGCCCGCATAGGGCGAAAATCGCAGAGCGAAGGTCAGTAAGCGGTTTGCTTACTGACCTTCGCTTTGCGACCCGCCGATCAGCTGTTTGGCGGCTACAAAATGGCTGCCAGAAGCCCCAAAATGACCGTTGGAAGCCCCAAAATGACTGTCGGAAGCGAGGGGAGGGCGCGAAAATGGCTGCCGGCCATAGGGAAGCCTCGTTGAACGGTGAGTATTCGGCCCAACTGGAACGCATTAAACCATGTTTAATGCGTTTCAATGGGCTTTTCTTGCCCCGTTCAACGATGCTTTCACACAGCGAGGGTTAATCCAGAACGGATTAACCTCGCTGTGCGAGGCACCACTGTATATATATATATTGCACTCTAAGGACCAGAGGTACATTTTGTCTGGCTTTTCTGTTACAAGAGAGCTGATGAAAATATAATGGCACTGATGAACTTTCAGCATTATTAGGAAAATCAAATGCTTCATGGACTCTCTAGCAATGAGACAAGGTGCAAAGTAGTCTCTGCAGTTCTAGACAACCAACTTTACCCAGCTCGTTCAGAGATGAGAAGTGATCAGCACAGGATCATCTGGACAAGAAAACAGCCCAATGCACAATCTTTCTCAGTAGTAGTAGCGGGTAGACAAATGTTAGATGCCTAGTACAGAGGTCGTCAATCCTCAGTTTGTGGCCCATTGCCGGTCCATGGCTTGAGCCTGACCGGGCCGCGAAAACAGACCTCCCACCCCCCCATGCACTCCCCTCCCCACAGCTGCATTGCACACACGTGTGCATGTCAGCGCTGGCGTTAGTGCTCCCTCACCCCTTCACGCATGTGTCCATGTGTGCAAAGCAGCTGTGGGGAGGGAAGTGGGGGGGCAGGTCAGCGGCGGCAGTCCAGAACCGGTAGGCTGAGCATGGCTGGGCGCTCCAGCTGCTGGCCTCCTGGCAGGCTCCAACAAGGCCAGAGACGGCGCTCCTCGCCCCCCTCAGCAGGCCGATGCCACCGCTGGTGCCTCCAGCTCCGGAACCGGCACCAGTGGCTGTTCGCTGGGCGGCTGCCCTCTGCCATTTGAATTTTCCATGAAAGGCGATTAGCGCAGCCCCCAGCCTCGTTGGAGCCCATCAGGAGGCAAGCGGCCGGAGTGAGCATCCCAACCATGGTCAGATCCCTAGGCATGCGCTCCTGTGCATGCACGAAGTGGTGGGAAAGCACATGCGTGCCTCTGGTGTGCGCATTCCCCAAAGGCTTTGTGCATGCGTTCGAGAGCACGAGCATGAGAGGGCTCCCCGCCTCCCTCAGAGGCTCAGCCAATCCGTGGTAGGAAAAAGGTTGACAACCTCTGGCCTAGTGCATGGGTGAAACTGTCTTATCTTTTTGGAGAAAGAAAAAGAGAAATAGAAGATCATGCAGCTGAAGAAGACTTGCCTTTTCAGGGCTAAGGTGTGAGTTCCAGAATCCTGCCTGTCTGTGTTTTAGCAGAAGAATTGTGTGGGTCAGGCATTCTGGCTTGCAAAGACTGGGCTAAGGTGTGACTTCCAGACTCCTGTCTCTGTGTTAAACATGCTTTAAAATTGACTTTGTTGAAAAAAAAGATTTCAAAAGTGCTTTTAAAACTGTTCCTGCCTCCCCCCTCCTTTCCTGAACTTTTCTTGACCTAAGAAAAAAAAGAAGAAAATATCCCCCTCTAGTGGTAGAAGGTGGAATAGCAGCTTCCCATTAGTTTCCCATTAGTTTCTATGGACGGAAAAGAGCAGATACGGATTAAATGGTTTTCAATGCATTCGTATGGGAAATGCAGATTCGACCTACAAACATTTCGACTTACAAACTGCCTTCCAATACGGATTAAGTTTGTAAGTCGAGACCCCACTGTAGTTCTTGGAGTGGACCTCTGTGATTCACAACCTGAGAGATCTGCACCTGCGCGGAGCCTCATCAGAAGATTCTAGAGCTTCTGGGGTAGGAATAAACATATTAGAATAAGCCCCTGCCCCCGGAATAAGTGCCTTGGTGCCAAGCGTCCCCTTTCAGTTATGTCAACCACTGCTTAGAGTAAGCAGAATGGCGTGACAGAGGGGAGGATGGGTGGGATGTGTGAATCACAGAGGTCCACTCAAAGAACTACAATTACAGGTGGGTCACCTGTCGTTCTTCTTCATGGCCTCTGTAAATCACACCCTGGATGACTAATAAGCTGTCTTACCCAGAGACAGGTTGTCACGCCAAGGTAGAGGCTAGAACAGCACGTCCAAAGGCTGCATCAGACTTCTGCCAGAGGTCAAGTCTATAATGATGGATAAAGGTGGACAGCTGCGGCAAAGTGGCAGAGGCGCAGACATCTGGAAGAGGTACACCACAGAAAAAAGCTGTAGAAGCTCCCACTGCCCTGGTGGAGTGAAGTTGGATCACTCTGGGGGCTGGACGTCGAGCAAGTTGGTAAGCCAAATGAATAGTAGAGGCGACCCATCTGGATATAGACTGGGAAGTTACTTAGACAGCCTTTGGTAGGTAATTGATGGCTTATGAAAAGATGAGGTGACCGCCTAAAGGGTTGGGTACAGTGGAGATAGAAGGAAAGAATTCTTCTGACATCTAACATATGGAGGATTTTTTTCTTGATTCGGTGATGGGAAGAATGAAGGAAGGACAATCGGTTGTGAGAGGTGAAACTGAGAGACAACTCGTAAGGAGGAGATGGAAAGGCCATTGGATTTGAGATGGAGTAGGAAGCGGAGAACGGTGGAGAGTGATATGGAGGGCAAAATTCAGTGAAAGATTGGAATTTCTTCCATTTATATAGGTAAGCCTTCCTCGTGGATGGTTTCTTAGCCCGATGGAGAATGTCCATTAGCGAGGGGGAATCCTCCACGTTGCTAGATGCAGAACAGGTAAGTCCGGGTGGAAGACTTGGGAGTTGTTCTGTGTGAGGAGGTGTGGCAGGCGGGGGAGGTGGTGGATGTCTGATGAGAGACTGTGGAGAACTGGGAACCAAGTCTGCCTTGGCTACCAAGATGCTATAACAATGGCATTGGTTTTGTCTTGTCACACAACTTTGTGGAGGAGGGGGAACGGCAGAAAAAGATAAGTAAGGGTTTTGGGCCAACATCCGACAAATGTGTCACCTTGCAAGTGTTTGCCAATTCCTGCTTGGGAGCAGTATAGTTTGCACTTTCGATTCGTTTGGGAGGCGTAGAGATTGAAAGTCGGTGTGCCCCATTTCTAGCAAATTTGGTGGAATATTGATTGATCTAGTTCCCACTCGTGAGCTTAAGCATTTGTGTGGCTGAGCAAGTCTACTAGGTCATTGTTGTGACCAGCGATGTGTAAAGCTGTGAGACAGATGTGATGTTGTACACACCACTCCCAGAGGTCAACTACTAAGTAAAGGAGACTTGGAGAGTGGGTGCTGCCTTGTTTGAGGATATAGTATATTGCCATGGTATTGTCGGTGGCAATCTGTACCATTTTGCCTACAAGGTTCCTGAAAGCTCTACAGGCTTTTATGACTGCCAATAGCTCCAATTAGTTTAGGTGGAGCAATTTCCTTCTGGGAGAACATTTGGTGTGAATCTTGAGGGATTTGCAGTGAGCCCCCCAGACTGTGTGACTGGTGTCAGTAGTGACTTTTATTTGTAGATGAAACGGCTGCTCGACAGAAAGGCTGGGAGGAAAACACCACCAATGAAGTTGGGAGGTGAGTTCTGGAGTGACCCTTAGGAGAGTGTGAGGAGGGTCTGTTAATGGATCGAATAGGGAGAGAAACCAGGACTGGAGAGATGTCATTTTTAGCCATACTTGTTGTACGACTGATGTCATAGAGGCCATGGTGCCTAAAACCCGTTATATTGTTATTATGGTATTAAGCGAGTATTAAGGCACGTGGGGTGAAACCCTGAAGCAAGGTGATCAAGTTTTCTCTCTTGTCCATGGGAAAAAAGGTGCAAGCTTGTATGGAATCTGGGTGCGCCTATGTAACGAACAGTCCTTGTAGGTTTTAAACTTGATTTCTGTTCATTGACAGTAAGACCAAGATCACAAAGGAGGACGAGGGTGAAGCCGGTGTCTCGTTGAGCTTTGCGACAGGAGTGTGCTACTAGGAGCCAGTCGTCAATATACGGAAAGATGAGAATGTTTTGAAGTCTGAGGTAAGCGGCTACTGGTGCCACGCACTTGGTGAATACTCTTGGAGCTGTTGCAAGGCCGAATGGGAGCCTTTTGAATTGGTAAGGGAGCAGCTTGAGATATAGTAGAGTCTTGGTGATACAGCCATTTCATCATTAATAGCTGTCAAGAGGGAGGCCAACTGCTAGATGGTACCATCGAACTAGGTAAAATGCCCGGTCGGCTGGTATGTACAGTTTGTCAAAAAGAGCACTGGTCAGGGCAAATGGCAACCCGATGAGTGTGCGAAGCGTGGGTCTGAGCCACACGTGATGGAGCCGGCTGCTGAGATTGTTGTTGTCAATGTCTCTGTTTAGGGATCGGTTGGACAGCACCGAGTAACAAAAGGTGTTGAGTCCCTCAGGATGGATGCCCTGGGGCAAAGTAACAACCGAGGGGTTGCTCGATGGAATAGAAAGTTGCGGACTGGGAGGAGAAGATGTTAGATGGTCGACTCTATCATCCCATTCTGGGGACTGAGAACATGGTTGATGGGACGGGAGTCCATCCTCATCAGAGGGAGAACCAACCGAAATTGACTCAGAGAGAGGTTGAGGCTGTGAAGGGATGACCAAAGACTTACATTCTTTTTGGAGGAGAAGGTTCTGGAGCTAAAGAAGCTTTGGTAGGTCTTTGACGTTTAGTGGAAGTTTTCGACGCCGAGGACTTCGGCATCGATGGTTTTGACTTGTGTGTCTTAGAGATCTTTGACAATGTCAATGGAGCATTGGAGTGAGATGGTATAGCTGATGGATGTTGTTTTGATGATTCGGTAACAGCTTTTTACATTGCTTTTGTTTGAGAAGTGGCCTTACACGGGGGTTGGGCTATTTTAACTGGTTGCAAAGATGTTCCCAAAGTCGGAGTTTTAGCCTAGAAAGGCGGGATTGGAGAACTCTACATTTGAAATTTTTGCAATGGGTACAGGAGGAAGTTTGATGTTCTTCTCCTAAACAGAAAAAGCACTTAGCGTTTATGTTGGAAAGCAGTGTTTTATTATCGCAGATGATGCAGTGATTAAATGGGCACAAAGGGGCTGTGAATTTAGAGAAAAACGATTTAAGAGAAAATGGAGTTGCATAGGGAGGCGGCCGGGAGGCCGATAGTGGAGAAGAAAAAAAACTAATAAAAATATTGGAAACTTTCAATTGTAATAAGAGAAATGAAATAGAAATAAAAAGGAATCAAGATTAAGCTCTTTTTCACTTTACTCACAGAAGCAGAATGAACTATGAGGTTCTCAACACGGCGGTTGAAAGAAACCAAAAGGGGACACTTGGTGCCAAGGTATACAGGAGGGAGTGGCTTATTCTAAAGTGTTTGTTGCTACCACAGAAGCTCTAGAATCTCCCGATGAAGCTCCGCGCAAGCACTAATCACCCAGGGTGTGGTTCACAGAGACCACGACGAAGAACTTGCCCTTTGTCTCATGCAGCAAAATGTCTCTGGTCAACACCAAAGAGAAAATAAACTTTGTTGATGAGCGGAACTGGTGTGAGCATATTTATGAGCTTAGAGCTCTGTTTTCCCTAGCTATATCAGGGGAACCAGCCATCCCCAAGTTGGAATATTCAGAGATGCTTTCTACATTTTCAAACATTATGTTATTCTTTCAGAGCAAGGCTAATTAAACACAAAAGGGGTGGAGCAGAATTTTATTTCAAGATGAATGATTAAGCCTCCGAAAGTGCTCATATGAGAACATGTCTAGCAAGAACATACAGAATGCATACACAGGATGCATGTTTTGCTAAAAATATGGCTAGTGCTTATGATTATGCTAGTGGTTCCCAACCTTGTGTAACCCAGGTGTTCCTGGACTGCAACTCCCAGAAGCCTTCAGCACCGCCTGTGCTGGCTGCAGTTTCTGGTAATTGCAGTCCAAAAACATCTAGGTTCCCAAGGCTGAGAACCACTGCTCTATGCTGAAATCTATGCTTCACTTCCAAATGTCTGCTCCATCAGCATCACTGCACCATATCTAGTTAGCAAGACTGAGAATATGTGGAAGTTATGGTCATGATGAACACATACTTTTAACAGTAATTTTGAAAGGAATAGCTGAAAGCTACAAATAAACCCTTTAAAAACACAATTATTGAAAGACATTGGATTCAGTTGAATAGAGTGGAGATCCATCAACCTCATCAAGAAACCAACCAGCTATGCACACCATTTTCTTTACCAAATGCAAATAACAAGATTACATCCCCAAGATACTTACAGTGAAAAACCTTTTACAGTCAACATATCCCACTGACTATGGTGAAAGGTTTTGCAACAAACCGCATAGTCGGCATCCTATTCATCAAAGAAGAATCCAGAAGGAAATTGTAGATCTCGAACAACATATACAGAACCAGTCCTCTGAACTGGATATTGTGCAAATATTCTCCACCGCAAGAAAATAAACATCCATGATGTGTAACTTATTTCCTGGAGAATTTTTTAATCTACTGTAGCGCCCTTTGGGTCACAACAGGAATACCAGGGACTTACATGATAACATTATAAATCTGTCCAGCCACACATTGAGCCAAGCAGAAATGTCAGTCATCTCATGGGGTCTGTCCCACACAGATGATCTGTGGTGACCTGGAGATCTTTTTCTGCGGATTGTGAGTCAAAGAATTTTTCCAAAACTGTGACAACAACCAGGCCAGCAACAGACAAGCTATGCCTCATTCCCCACAGCATGAAGAGGAATAAGGTACTGACCCACAGCCACCTTCCTCCCAGCACTATGGAAAGAAGAACTCTACAAGGACTCCTCCAGGAGGTCAGGACAAGGAATTAGACTTCTATATTGAGTGCTCAGGCTGAGATAATCATCGAAGGACATGATTCACCACATAATCTCTGCCAGCCAGAGTCCAATACACATAATCCAATACAACTAGAATCCAATACACAGGATCAAAAGCAATCCTAACATCCTCATCAAAGAGGCAGATAAGAGTGGAACTGTTGTTGTCATGGTCAAGTTGGACTACAGACAGGAAGCTGAGAGAACATCACCTATCTCTAAATTTTACCAGCTCCTTAAAACCCAACTATTAAATACCAAAAGCAATTACAGCACCTTATGAAATGCTTCGGGAAATATAGGTGATCAAATCCTGGCTAATACACCACGAGAACCTCAACCAGCCACCTGCTACCAATCTCCTACCTGCTACCAAAAAATACACAAACTGGGCAACCATAGCAGGCCCACTGTATCAAGCATCAATACCATCACTGTTGGGCTCTCTGGATACTTGGACTCCACCCTCAAACCATATGCCACCAATGAACCTAGAGAAGTAGGAGATGCTAAAGACTTTCTAAGGAAATTGCAGTCCATTCACTATCTCCCTGACATAATGGATGTAGAAGTTATCTACACTAAAATCCAACACACTGCAAAAACCTCAACCATCCACCTTCTACCTGCTACCTAAAATACACACTCAGCATTAACACCATCATAGTTAGGGTATCTGGATGGGCGGAGCAACAAGCAGTGAGAACAGGGGAAATTCCAGGGCTCTGGATTCCCCTGGGTTTACTCCGAGTCAGAGGATCCCCCCCAGAGAAGGGGGGCAAGTTCCCACAGGAGAGTGGGACTTGTTAGCAAGTGGGGGCTTTGGAACCGCCGAATCTCAGATGGCAGTCTGTTTTTTGGAAGAGTTCCCTTCCTACACGCAATCTGTCTTGTGAAGTCACCATGATGGTGAGTTAGCTGCTCGGAGAGGGGAGGTATGAGATTTATTATCTGACTGCAGAACAGAGATTAACAATCTGCTGCTAAACTACAGCAAGTAAAAGATCAAATCTGCTATTTGAAAGCTGATGAGAAGGAAGATCTCAATTTATTTATTTATTTATCAAGTGGCATAACTTTGTTGATGCCTGTAACATCGGAGTTTTCTTTACTACGCCACAGCTCGGAAATGAAACCAGTCTGCACTTTTTCTCTCTTAACTCTTCCTCCCAGAGAAACTGGCTTCTCATAAATCTATAGTCAGGACTTAAGAACTCTAAATAACTCTACATAATTTAACCTAAGTGACTGTGTATGTGGCTATAAAATGGTCTGTAAATCAAATAACATCCATGGGGTGCCCCCCTCGTAAGACTTTAAGTGCGGACTAGCTAATAAATTATGTGGGAAATCTGAGTAATTAACCTGCTGACTGCTACGGCCATGGAAGGAGGGGGAGAATCATCATCGCAAATCACAATGGATTATATCAAGGGACTTCTTCAAGAATGTCAATTTAACATAATTAATCATTTTGAGGCGCAACTTGAGGGGATCAGAATAGACTTGAAAATGACTTTTTCCGCTCTGCACAAAAAGATCAAAAGCAAAGACAAACAACTTAACCGAATCTTTAATGAGCAGCCTTTAATGTTGGAGAGGGAGACTGCCTCAAAGCAGCACAGACAAATCATCGAACAGTCACCATGCTGTAATGTTGTGTGAAAAGAAGAGACTGAGGGCTTACAGTCTTTACTGCTTGTGATGACAAGTAATCATTTATAATCATGATGGGCATTCTATTCTTGTTTGGTTCTATATAATCTTTGGCTCATTTCATGTAAACTGCCCCAAGTCGTGATCTTACTTATTCACTTATTTATTACATTGATATCCTGCCCATCTTATAGCAAGCCACTACTGTACTTTGGGCTGTTAACAACAGATAAACACATGTACCCACCCACAAACAGAGAACACCCAAATCACAAAGACAACAAGGGAAAACAAACAAAAAACCCAGAGAAAACAGCAAACTATATTCAAATATGGGACAGTGAGAAAGTCACACAGGGAGGATGTTCCTGAAGGCTTCCTTAAAGAGTTTGGATTTCACATATTTCTTGGAGACCAAGAGGGAGGGAGTCTGGCATATATCTACAGGCAATGTGTTCCATAATGAGGCGATCACCACCAAAAAGGCCCAGTTCCTACTGGTTGTTTTATGGGCCTCACCATAAAACAACCAGTCTGGGACCAAACATAAAGTCTGGGAAGGCCGGGCAGTCCAGGGAGACAATCTTAAGAAAAGATGTTCCGATAGGTAGCAATGTCCCAAGCTGTTTCAGGGCTTTATAAGTTAATACTAGAACTTTGAATCTGGAACAGAAACAAACATGAAGCCAATGCAGGTGTACCAGAATCAGGGAGGCATGATCATATCTCCAAGTGTCTGACACAATCTAGCCATTGCATTTTGCACCTACTATAGCTCCTGTATCACCTTCAAAGGCAGCCCCAAGTAGGGAGCATTGCAGTAATCGGTCCTAGAGATTACCCATGCAGGGATCAACGAAATCAAGGGTTACAACGGTGAAGTCAGCTGAAGATGAAAAAAGGCAGAACTTGCCATGGTGAATATTTGCTTCTCCATGGAGAGTGTTGGGCCTAGAAACATCCCTAAGTCGCAGACCTCATCCTTTGGGGGGACTGTGACCCCACGCAGATCAGACAACATACTTCCCCTCCCAGTAACATGATTTCCATCTTGACCGGATTCAGTTTCAATCTGTCAGTCCTCTTCTAGTCTATAATCAAGGTCAAGCACCACTTCAGGGTCTGGATAGCTGCCACGGCTGGCGATGAAAATGAGAGAGTGAGTTGTGTGTCATCAGCACACTGTTCAACATCAGTGAACTCCAAATCTCCAGGTGACTTTCTCCAACAGCTTCATATAGGAGTTAAAGGGCACTGGGGAGATGATCGACCTCTGTGAGACTCCACAGTGAAGAATCCACAAGGTTGAAGCAGCATCTCCAACCTGCATCCTCTGGACATGGCCACCGAGAAAGGATCAGAGCCACTCTAACACTGAACCTCCAATCCCTAGGCTCAACAGCCTGTCTGGGAGGATGATTTGGTCAAAGGTATAAAAGACTACTTAGAAATCCAGGAGGACCAACAAAGTCACACTTCTTAACAAGTCAACTAGCAGAGTGACCAGAACTATCTTGGCATGATGGCAAGGTGTGAACCCCAACTGAAATGGATCTAGACTATCAGTATCTTCCAAGAACATCTGCAGCATAGCCACTACAATCCCTTCTATCAGTTTCCTCAGGGACAGAATGTTAGCAACAGGATTGTAATTGTTAACATAACCTACCATTAAGATACATTTTTTGAGACTGGACCAAACTACAGTGGTGCCTCGGCTTATGAACTTAATTGGTTCCAGAAGATGGTTGTTAACTCGAAAAGGTGGTTAGTTGAAGCACCATTTCCTATTGGAATGCATTGAAATGCAATTAATCAATTCTGGCTGAAGAAAAAAATAACAACAACCACAAAATCATTGCAAGACCCATTGGAAACCCAATTAATCCCTTCTGGCCGAAGGGGGGGCAATCAAGCATGCAAGACCCATCGGAAATGCAAAGAGAGCAAACTGAGCAGGTCAGAAATGCAAAGAGAACAAAGCAAAAAGCATGGGAAGCA